CATGTTCCATAGCCAAAAATATTTGCCTCCCATCCATAACAAAACTCAAAATTATGAGGACACATTTAAATGGACGATAATTAAAGTATATATTTACCCTAAATTTACTTCATCAAATTTATCTTATTATATTTTAACTAAATTTTTTTTTTTGTTTGATCAAAAGATTCACAACATTAATGTAACAAGATTATGGATTGTGGCTACAGCATCATGCATCGACTGATGGGATTTTGGCAAACCAAGTATATCTTCTATCTTTACTATATTAATTTTAATAATTTACATTATATTACACACATCACATACTTGAGTTTGATTTTTTTTGTTATGTTTGATTTAATAGTACTTTAAGGATGCATTTATATATGAATATACTATAGCTAACATTGAAGAAGTCCTCAAATAGTTGTCACATTATTTGTTCAAGCAGTGACTAAAATATTCACGATTAGGAATATGAAATGATCACATTAGCTTGCTCAATTCTGATTCATTATATAGGTTCATTAGGTTCTTTATACATTGGCCAATTTTAATTTTTGGTTAACTTTGGAAAATTTTAGTTTTAATTTGTAAATTTTTTTTTCTTGTAATTACTTCATTGCATATGCATTTTTTGATAATTTTAAAGTTCTTTTAAATATACTATAGAAGTTATTATATGTTTGAATAATTTTGATTTCAATTGTAAACAAATTTTGGTTAAAATGGACTTCTATTGCATTGCAATTTTGAAAATGTTTATATTTTGTTTTGAAGGGCTACTCAAACCCCTTATTAAAAAAATACTAAATTATATAACAGTTATTTTAAAATAACTTCCATATAGTTCAATATATATAACGGTTATACTAAATAATTGCTATATAGATATAACTACATAATAGTTATTTTGAAATAATTGTTGTATAGGTCAATGAGCAACTGGTAACAAATTATTAAAATTGGGCTTAATTATATAGTAGTTTTTGTAAAATAACCATTGAATATATGGCAACTATTTAGTGATTATTGTAAGAAAACCATTAAATAGTTTATTGAAATGTTAGTGGGGTTCGTGACTTGAACAAAATATGTAACGAATATTTGTAAATAACTGTTATAAAGACAAACTATATAGCATTTAAATAATGGCTACATAGTTTCTTCAAGACTATATTGCACCTCAATATATAGCAATTATTAACCATTATGTATGGGAGAAAACAACAACTATATAGAGACTTTTTTTTAGTAGTAATGAACACAAGTTTAAAGAGAGCTAGAGCTCATTCTAAAAAACCAACTTATTGAGTAATGCCACCTCATCAAGAGATGACATTCCCAACGACTTCACTTGGCCTCCTACAAGATTAGAATCCTCTATGGGTAGTCATTTCTATAATATCGATTTCTCAATGAAAACACTAATATCATAAGCGCAAGTTTAAAAAAAGAGCTTATCCCAAAAGATTAATATATTGAGTAAGAAAAAATTTTAAATTTATAAATCACATTTCACCTGTGAGGTTGTGCATGTGGAACTTATCAAACCTTATTAATCCTTTTTTTCTATTAACTAAAGATTATAACACAAAGTATGTATACATGCGGCGTTCTTATCCCGTTCACTTATTACCTGGACGAATCAGCATTGTCACTGTTTAGTCTTCCCTCATTATTGGCTTAGTATAGCCTAAGTCAACCTAATAAACACTTTCAATTAATGGAAGTCAAGTAATGTCTGTCTGTCATTACTACTCCCTTTAAATTCAGGTATTATTGTTGATTGATTTTTTTTTTTTTGGGATTCGATACTAATTAATTAACTTAGGTGAGTTGAATAATATTATGAAGAAAAGAAATTCAACTCTTTTTGGATTCGATATTATAATCGCTATACTTCCACGCTAAAAATAATTAGTTTGTCATATTCTTTAATTTATAAATAAAAATTTAGGTGAGTTGTATTATGTCGTGGGTTATACGTGAAATTCTTATCTAATTGAACGAACTTTTGTTGACTATCATCATTTAATTAAAAAAACACTAAGAATAAATTACAGAGATGAACTAAGCTGGACCTGGAACAGTAGCTGTTCTTATCATCATTAATTTCAACTCACTACATATCGACTAAAAACCAAGCCCGTCACTTCAAATAAAAACTAAAGCCGTGTGTGTGTGTGTGTGTGTGTGTGTGTGACATATCGACTCAAAACCAAGCCCATCACTTCAACTAAAAACTAAAGCCATAAGTATGTGTGTATGTGAAAGCCGTGTGTTGTGTGTGTGTGTGTGTGTGTGTGAGAGAGAGAGAGAGAGAGAAGAAGGCATGTGAAGTATACGTTTCGCCTTCAATCGTAAAATTAAGAAGCTAGGCCGCTAGGAGTCAAGCTTAAACCTTCCTTGAAATGTATTTTTAATTGGCGAATGGAGGTAACAAGTTAAGAATGAATACCAAAGGCACTCTAAACAAATTTATATAAAATAAGAACTTTTCCAGTTTTCCTTGAGCTTATTAAAAAAAAAAAACAAGAAGAACTTTAATTTATAACTGTGAAAATTTAAATAGTAAATTTTTAGAAATTCAAATAATACGGAGGTCATTATTTTAAATTAATTTTTTATAGAATATTCGATTATAATTTCACCAAAAGAGATTTAAAATGTAACCTTTCGTATCTGTTGAATTTATCAAAAATCTTCGCCAAAGTATTTGTGAGAAATTTTCTCACAAATTAGTAAATCCAAGAGAACATTCTCATGGACACATGCAGTTTATAATTCATTATATAAATTTTGAATTATAAAAATCATGCAATTAATTATAAAGTTATACTCTCTCCTATTCTTATTATAAGATACATTTAACTATTTCATGATAGTTAACTCATTAAATATATTTTAAAATAAATTTTTTTAACTTTATTCTATTAAAAACGAAAAGAGAGATACACAACATACAATAAGTAATAAAATTAAAATTACAATAGTAGTAAAATTGAAAAAAATGTTAATAAATAAATCTTCATATACCTTATATCAACGACCAAATAATTTTTTTAAAAGGTAACCTATACTAAGGACCAATGAGATATAATCTTTTAGTAAAAATATAAAAAAAATTACTTTTATTTTTTAAAAGAAAAATTGAAGGATTTAAAATTTTTTGGATTAATAAATATAACAAATTAAACTATAATTTATTTATTAAAATAAAATAAATTACATTAAATTTTTAAAATTGAGAAAACTATAAAATCCTACATATTAATTTTCCCAATGATAAATCCAAATTAAAACGCAATACTAGTCACTGAGCACGTAATGTAGGCCCATTTGTGACGATGTCCCACACATCGTATTCATATAAGTAAACAGGCCCATCCTTTTGTTTCCATTAAGGCCCATAAATCTATTCCATTATGATATCACGTTCTAAACACCCAGTGATATTTCTTACCTTTAATTTAATTATTCATACCAAGCATGAAAGCATTCTATTACCCGGTTAACTTTTTTTTTACTTTAATGAGTTAGCAGGCGAGACAGGAGTTGAGTTGGCAGAGATTAGCTTTTCTGATAAAGAAAAGAATTGTTTGTTATAGTTGAGCCGATAAAGTCATTGCAAGGATTGATGAATTAGCAGTCGGGCTTAAAAGCACCGAGAAATGGTAATAGTCTTTAAGTGAAGTTGTGAGTGTGAAATCTTCCTGCTACGCCCTAAATAATTAGGCTTTGCCATAAGAGGTTTTTCTTGATTTTCGACTACTGCTTGCTTTCCCTTTCTTTGCTAACTCAGCAAACAAAGAAGAAAAGAAAAAAAGCGTCACAGAGGCACGATTGAATCAATAGTAGTAGCAAAGGGGGAAGGAACTATTAGTAAGATCATGATAAAGTCCCCTTGACTTGATATTCGATTAGTAAAGCACTAGCGCGCTACAACTAGCATGACAGCCTGCAAAAAAGGCTCTAGAGTCCCTAGTCCTGAGTTGGAGCAACAAGCAAGGAGCAATCAAACTCCTGTGCGAGCAAGAAAATGGATGCGCGTTAGACACACGCAGGAGCAAGCACAATGAGAAAGAAATGAGAAAAAAAGAAAGAAAGAAGGGGGTAGATTTAGGCTCCTTCCCTTCCACTGCATAGCTGCGCTAGCAAGTACTACGAGCCCTCTGTCCCACGCATCTAACCAGCTCACGTGGTTCACCAATTCCACTGAAAACTTCATTTGTTGAAGCTGAGCATAGTGCGCTTTAGGCGCCGAGCCAAAAACGTCTCTTTCTTCTACAATATGGTTCTGTAAATTTTAGATCAATGGCTCCCTACCAGAAATTGTAGGCACAATTGAGTTGTATAATCAACCCAATAACATGAGCAAAGAAGTTTTAGCGTTATTCACTAGAGGAAACCAAGCAAAGCCCAAAATGGCATAACCAAATAATTGTTTTGCCAATGATGGATTTTGTGCTAGTGCACCACTTTCTATCTCTAAGTCCCTTGCTTGTTTTGTTTCCTATTTTGATCTTCATTCTCCCGAAGAATTCATTAAGAAACCATATTGATTCCGTTTGTGTTCTTTCCTTACTAATCAGTCTCACTGACAGGCCAGCCCTTGAGCAGCAGGTGCAGCCAGGGAATTTCTGATGGCTACCTATGAGTTTAATTGTGCTAGCATTCGGGAAATCTTGGCTAGTTGACAGCAAGATAAAAATTGAAGCGAAAATAGCAGTTAAATCGTAAAAAATTGTCCAGTTAATTTTAAATTAGATCAGTCATTTTTTTGGATTTAACATGTTTGACCATGCTTTAAATTTGAAAATTAGGCAGCCTTTTTACGGCTCTTGAATTTAAATCTCTTGCATGTTTTAATTGACGATTGATGATTCTATATTTTCATGTACATGCAGCTGAAGACTCTTATTAACACTCAACGACCAGATCAAATCAGAATATAAAATACTTTCTAACTGGAGTTTTTGTTGCCCGCTGGCTGATACCAAAAGAACACGACGACAAATCAAACATGCTGAAGCTTGGAAAATTAACATTGTGTTCTGGGAAAAATTTAACCAAGAGTAATGCTTCTCCAAGGACATCGCAACACGTCTTTATTCTAAGACCTATCCTATACTTGCCTCTAGCTACAAGCGCAAATAACTCCTTTGTTGGTTGAAACCCAACCATAATATAGCACAAAATACACCCAAGGGCTGGTCAATCACAAGGTCTTTGCTCAAGCATCATCCAGGGCAAGCACCCCAGGAAGTGATTTCCCCTCAAGAAGCTCTAAGCTTGCACCACCACCGGTGGAGATGTGGCTCATCTTGTCAGCCAGACCAGCCTTCTCTACCGCTGCAACTGAGTCACCTCCTCCGATGATGGTCGTCACCCCCTTCCCAGTCAGCTCAGCCAATTTCTTGGCTATGGCCTGTACACAAGAGAATAATAGCGTTCAGTTCTTGTTCACGATACCTATTTCAAACAGACTTTTTTTTCGTTTGGCCTGTCCAGCAAATTGACCTACTTGTACATTTGATACTTGGGCAACCAAATATCAAATATCAAATACCAAGATATTGACCTAGCAAACTTTCGAGTTTGTAACTCTCAAGTTCCTCAGCAATGTACAGCTGAAGGAATCAGGTTAACAAACACAGACAACATAGAGGGAAACCAAGTAGAGTAATTTTAATTTCAGTAGATTTGGTTCAAATGAAATCCAACAGAATCGGTAAAACGGGAATGGAAATGGAAGTTACAGAGTGAGATGTTCAAAATATACAAAATATAATTGACCCTTTGGAGTTAGGACGACAGGGGAAGGAAGGAATCCAAAGAAAATGAAAGGGAAGAGAAATAAAGGAATGGATGACTTGGTGATAATTTTTCTTCCCCTTGTATGGAAAAATTTCAAAATTTCCTCAAATTGGGGAAAAGTGGAAATATAAAAAGTCGGAATGTGTGTTAATTGAAAATTCTTCATTGTTCTACTCCCCTTCTTTATTAATAACTCACAAACACGATGGAAGTTTCAATAAACCTCTCTTTTCCTTCCAACCATACCCTCAAAATGTGGCTAATTTCCATACCTCTGTTCCTTTTGCAAACTTCTCAAACTCGAAGACACCCATTGGTCCATTCCAGATGATGGTCTGAGTCTTATCCAGAGCTTCGCTAAATGTTTTGATAGAATCAGGTCCAATATCCAATCCCATCCATCCATCCGGAATTCCTGATGCCGGGACAACCTGCATCCATGTAAACAAAGCTTTAGGGTTTAAGCACCACCTTGATCAAATTACTACAAGTGATCATTCTGGATATTTCCTTAATTCAGATAAATTCCAAAAACAAATTGACATCACAAATATACAGTCAATGCACTTGAAGAGTTCCTAAAAGCAGTGTTTTGCAGAAGTATCAAGAATGATTTACATGACACCAACTCCAACCACAACTGTGTTTCGAAAAGAAGATTCATGTATTATTTCTTTACTTCAGACAATGTAGCTACCAAAAGGGTACAGATGATCGTACAAATATAGTGTCAGTTCATACACAAAGTCTATAAATTTAGTGTTTTGCAAGCGTACAAGGACATGGTTGTGGTTTTATAAAAAAGCAAGTACCTTGCTGTCAGCATCAGCAGCAAACTTGTCAGCTACGACCACATCAGCTGGAAGCAATAAAGAAACCCCTTTAGCCTTGGCCTTTTCAATAAGTGAAGTTGCAAGATGAAGTTGTTCTTCCTCCACAAGTGATGATCCAACTGAATGACCCTGGGCCTTGTAAAATGTGAAGATCATTCCTCCACCAAGCAAGAGAATCTGAACCTTCTCCAGCAAGGATTCAATAACAGTAATCTTGGTAGACACCTTTGAGCCGCCCACAATTGCTGCAAATGGCTTCTTGGGGTTAGCCACAGCTCCAACTAGATAATCAAGCTCCTGAAACAATTAAACAGGTTACAGATCAATCCAACCGCATTACTTGCCGAGCAGATGATACAATAAATAGTCACTGCATACCACTTACATACCTTCTGCATAAGAAATCCAGCAACAGAGGGCTTCAAGTATTTTGCAACTCCTTCTGTAGAAGCATGAGCTCTGTGGGCAGTGCCAAATGCATCATTCACATAGAGATCAGCAAGAGAAGCTAACTTCTTTGCAAATTCAGGGTCATTCTTCTCTTCCTCCTTGGAGAACCTTACATTCTCGAGAAGCAACACACCACCTTCTGGAAGTTGAGCAACCAATTTTTCAACTTCCTCCCCAATGCAGTCATTTGCCATCTTAACCTATTATAAAAGAAAAAGAAGGATCTTTATAAAGGATGCCCAACAATAAAATTACTATAGTCACAGAAAAGATAAGAAAATCCAAAAATAAATGGAGCGGTGAAGAAGGCACACCTCAACTCCAAGAAGTTCAGAGAGCCTAGGCACGAGAGGCTTCAAGCTGTATTTAGGTGTCACACCCTTTGGACGTCCCTGGATACAGCATTTACATGGCAAAATCACTTCACAAGCTACGAATGAAAAACTGATACAAGGAGACCAGCTTATACCATACACGGAAGTCCAAATAGGTGGCGGTTAATATCACATTAACAATGAAGAAATATTAAAAGAAAGCAAGAGGTAGAAGAGAATAGAGATCATGTCAGCCTTGCATGACGTTAAAACTTGTATAAATTAGGATTCAACATTGCCCTTTTCTCGTATTTTATTTTTAGTCCAAACCAAATTTTGCCTCCCCTCACCCCTGAATCAAATTGACACCTACTAGAACGAAGACAATTACCATAAAACACACCATTAAGTTCTTCAGGGAACAGAACGTAGAGCCTGAATGCGCTAAGCAAAAAATTTAAGATGCACTTGCAGATCTCGGATTAAAAAGAACATCAATTTATGTTGAGATATTGAAGGAAAAACAGGATGAGGAATGATCAAGCGAAACAAGAAAGCAATTCCATATGAATCGCCAAAAATAGAAAAATATCCATGTGGATCGCAACCGCCGAACAGAAGACGAATCAGAAAAAATGATCGAAAATGTAAATCCAAGCGAGGATAAATCAAAATCCAAATACAACAAAACAAAGCAGCACAGACATAGATATTCACAACGATCTAAGCATCTGACTGAAAAAATGATGAATGTCGAGGCATACCAGGTGACTGGAGAGGATGACCTTGGCACCGTAACCCATCAGGTACTTAATAGTGGGCACAGCAGCACGAACTCTGGTGTCATCGGTGATGTTGAAGTTATCATCCAAAGGCACGTTCAGATCAACTCTCACAAACACCCTCTTACCCTTCAAATCAGCCTCCTTCAAGGTACTCACGCTCCTCTTGGTTGCCATTGAAAAACCTTCAAATCAAGAACCCAGAAACCATACCAATCAGCGTTTAACAGAACACAAAAGCGATCACAAAAGATCAAATTTAGAATGGAGAAACTTACGGTGATAATGCAGATCAGAAATTGAAGAAGCGAACTTTTCCAAGTGGGAGATCAAGCAAGGACAAGGTTTGGGAAAGTTCCAGAATATTTATAGACCAAATGCTATGTGCGACGACACATGTTAAGTTTAGTAATAAAATTTAAATTTTAATTAAAAAATAATTTATTTTTTTATAAATATACAAACATAATAATTATAAAAAAATAAAAAATATTAAAAATTTTACACTATATATTGATATTTATTAACTTATATTAAATTAATTTTAGAATAAATTAAAATTAATAATATAATGTTATAGGATCAGAGCAGATCATTAATTTTAAACATGTATTTCACCAAAGAAAAATAATAATAATAATATAATAGACTTAAGAACCGCCCAGGCCCGAATCTTTTTTTACAGGGCTCATCAGGATTAAACCCTCAAACTCGATTATTTAAAAAAAATTATTTTTAAAATTTAAACTTTATTTAAATAAAACTTAAAAACTCCAACTCTTCAAACCCAACCTTTATTTTTTGATTTCACTAACAACGAGCCGACTTCGGAGCACACCAACTCAACTCGGTGGGCGTAGGGAAATCTGGGGACTAGCATGAAACCAAAAAGTTCTACTGATTTTGATAAAGAATAGAGAGAAAATAGAGATAGAGATTCTATTTTGGCAGAATGACAAAAAAAAAATGCCTCCAAAATATGTAAAGTCCAAATCAGGACCTTGGTACAATCAGCATCGCTATGAGGTCTCACAGACTTTGTAGGGATTAAAATTTTAGGTGAAATTATTTTATTATCCCTATATATATATAATCAAGAATCTCAAGCATACGTGTCAATATATTATGAAGCCATATCAAGTCCATGTTTTTCTCTTGTGACGATAAGTGGACACAAGTTAAAAATTTTTCAATGATAAATTATTATTTATTATTTAAAAATATAATGTATGCATTTAATGTGTATGAATGCGGTGAATTAATTTCGTGATTTAATTCTGCAATTTATGAAAAGTATAACCATAGGGTAAATTTTGAGGAAATTGAATTATTGAATCCATTTTATTTTGATTAATAATCTATATATCTATATATATAATCAGGACTCCTAAGCACACATGTTAGAACATTAGCAAGTCACCTCAACTCCACCTTTCTCTCCTATTAGTGACACATGGATATTCAAGATGAATAATTCCTCAATAAAATAAATTATTTGTATATGTAAACAATTAATTTCATGATTTAATTATTTAATTTATGTAAATAATAGTTATGATATTTATGGAAATTGAGATCGTACAATGAATTCATTTATAAAAATAATTATATATTGTTAACATTTTAAAAGAAATAAGTTGGTAGCATATATAATTTTTTTTTCAAGAAATTGAAATTGTGCAGTGAATTCATTTATTGAAATTGTGCAGTGAATTTTTTGAATTTCATTTTTTTTACCAAAATTAATCCATTAAATTTCATTTCTATGTAAAATTTAAAAATTAATAGGAAATTATGTTGCAGTATACAAAATTATGTTATAGAGAAATTAAAAAAAGCATATAAAAAATTCATTGCTTGTGTTATAAAAAAAACACAAAATTAGCAATTAAATTTGATGGACATGAATTCAAAAAATAAAAAACAAAAAAAACATTTGCAATACTCAAATGGATCAACATTAAATTAGAGAATCAATGTTATTATATTAATGTCAACTATGTTTTAAATGTGAATGTTTATTTAAAAAAACAAAACTACCAAATCAATTAAAGTAATTTCTAAATTAATGTATCTTAAATAAACAACATACAAAGATGCATTATTGCAAACTTTCTATTAACTCATAAATATTTTGATTGATTTGACAGTTTTTTTAGAATAAGTATACATATTTAAAACACAAAATCAAACTATACCAAAAATATGCAAAAAAAAAACATATAAAAATAAATTAACTACTCATATCATAAAAAAACACAAAATCAACAATAAAATTTGATGAAAATGAATTCAAAAAATAAAAAATACAAAAAATATTTGCATGACCCAAATAAAGTGGCCTTAAATTAGAAAATTAATATTATTGCAATGATGTTGACTATGTTTTGAATATGGATATTTATTCTTAAAAAACTACCCAATCAATCATAAAAATTTCTAAATTAATGTGTCATAAATAATAAGTAGCATGCAAAGATGGACTATTACAAATTTCATGTTACCTCAAAAATAATTTAATTGATTTGGTAACTTTTTTAAGAATAAATATCCATATTTAAAACATAGTTGACTTAGGTGTAATAATGTTGATCCTCTAATTTAATATTGGAAATATTGGACTTTTTTATTTTTATTTTTTTACTTTTTTGAATTCATTTACATCTTAATTAATTGTTACTCACATTAGTCTCTATTTAAATCAACTACTCACTATTCTAGTCATGCCAATCCAGACTCAAATCACTTGTGGTCTTATTCGACTTGCTCATGTGCATTCGTTTCTTGCAACTTCTTTTTTATTTCTATTTCTCTATTCATATTTTGATTTAATTCATTATTTATGGAGATTTGACCATGCTACGTGCTGCAAGTTAGGGCTCTATGATTTGACGTTGTCCACACTGTCAACTCACTTTGAAACTATTAGAAAATTACAATTTGACTGATTCGCATGTGGATAATGGTAGGTTACAAGGTGGATTCAAGAGAGATAAATCAAAATCATCATCTTCTTATCCGATCTCTATCATCTTCAACTTCTAGAAAGGTATTCAAATTTTAGTTGTCTCTTACTATTATCACGTTGCATCTTTTTTATATATGTAAACAAGATTAGAGGAGTAGAAGTTGGGTGCTTCACATGTTGACGATGATGGGTTACAAGGTAGATTTGAGATAAATAAGTCTGAATAATCATCTTCTTCTTCAATTTCTATCATTTCTACATTTTGAAAGGTATACAAGTTTTAATTGTCTCTTACTATTATCATGATGCATCTTGCTCCACATCTTGTAACTCTAGTTACATGTTTTAGACTTTTAGTTCATTTCAATGGATTGTTAAACTCACTATTACTAAGTAATAGTTCTCCTAGCCTTAACTTTTGTGGCTCTTTCTGTTTGAATAATAGTTAATTGGTTAGACGTGGTGGATATTATGAATATGATTGTTTAATGAGGTCTTTTTATAAATTGGTGTTGTACACCACTTTGAGATGTATTTTCAATATAGTTGTTGACATTCTATTGAACTTTAAAAAAATGAAATTATGAAATTGCAAATTGATGACTCACTAAGAAACTATTAGAGAATTATAATTCATATTAGAATTATTTGATGCAACTTCTTTTTTATTTTTATTTTTCTATTATTTATTGTTATTTTGTTTGTTTTCTATTATGTTTTGAGAATTATTTAATGTGTATATGTGACCATTTTAGGGTGAACATATTTATGCTGTCGTGAAGAGAAGTTTCCTTTAAAAGTTTTCATCTTAATTGAAGGAAGGTAACGTGTATGTTATCTTTCAGTTTGGTATTTGTCAGAACATCAGATCGAATAGAACTAAATAAACTTGCAATTTCTTTTTTTACTACCTTTGTGACATGTGGACAATTTGATTATTAATCTTTAATTTTGGAAATTTTAGTTTATTTCTTCATAATATTATTCTCTATAACACCATTTATTAAGATTTTTTTTTTTGTGGTGTTATCTATTGCCTTAACTCTCCTCATCAAATCAAATTTGATTCTCCTTGTATTAAAAAAAATGGTTAATGATGGGATGTTATTAATATCAATTTTAAACATCCACATGCTGATCCTCATCAAATTTTATTTTTCAATAATAAGTATTTTTTGTGCATTTTTTTTGCAAGAGTTATATATTTTTTATGTTTTTTATATATGAGAAACATTGTTTTTTAAATATGTAATTACTACTTTTTTAAAAAAATAAGTAAAAATAATATATACAAAAATACTTAGATTTAAAATTGATATTGTACTATATGCAATTATATCTACTCAAGTATTAAGTTGTCCATAAAAAAAAATTGATTGATTTGGTAGCTTTTAAAAAAATAAGTAATAATTCACACAAAATATTCATATAACTTTAGGGGAAAAGCATATAAAAATAAAAAATACTTACTTTTTAATGACTTATGTTATTAAAAACACAAAATTACATTACAAAAAAAAACATGTAAAAAAAGCACGTAAAAACAAATTAACTACTTATGTTATAAAAAACACAAAATTAGCAATTAAATTAGATAGAAATAAATTTTAAAAATAAAAAACACAAAAAAAAAATATTTGCAATACCCAAATCAGTCATCATTGAATTAAAGAATTAATATTATTGTACCAATATCAACTATATTTTGAATGCAAATTTTTTAAAAAAAACTATCAAATCAATTAGAGGAATTTTTAAATTAATGTATCTTAAATAAAAAGCATACAAAAATGCATTTTTGCAAATTTCACATTAACTTTGATACAATAATGAGTATTTCTCTACCAATGTTAGCACTCATAATTATTCCATATATCTATGGATTTCTCTATACTTTGTTACGTTCACTGACATGGGTGATTGTAAGACCAATGATAAATGTTTGATAGGTCCTCCTCTTTTGTATTTTTAGCTATTTTTTTTCAATTGCTTAGATTCTATAGGTATTGTGTCTAAATACACAATGTTTTGTTTTTAGATGTCATTCAAAAATATGTGTTGGATATTGTAAATATTTTTTAGTATTTTAAAAGAAATTATTAGAAATTAATAATATTAATTATTATTTATGTCTATTTATTATTTTATAACATATAATTTAAACAACATTATTATTTGAAACATTTTTTAATTGTGATTAAGATGATTTTATTGCCTGGCATTATGAGATCTGCCTATAAAAGGCAATACTTGCCACAGATTCAGAGAGAGCCTTGTACTCTTGGCCTTTCTCTCATCTTCTATCATACTAATTCATTGTGCAGTTACCAGAATATATTCTGTGAATTTATGTTGTTCTGTGTCTCTACTTTTAATAGAAAGAGTCTGTGTAATCCTGAGGAGCTGCCGCTCA